TTAAGATGATTATTTTGAATTCTTTGTCAGGTAATTCATATGTCTTAGTTTCTTTAGGGTTGGATTCTGGAGAATTAGTTCCTTTTGATTGAACCATGTTTCCTTGTTTCTTTGTATACCTTCCAATCTTTAGTTGAGATTTGGGCATTTGAATAAATAGCCACTTCTCCCAGTCTTTACGAACTGGCTTCATATGCGGAAGGACCTTTACCAATCAACACAGCTAGAGATTCTTGGTGCCTTTCAAACCTTTTCTGGGGATGTATCTTCTCTTGACCTGTGTAATTTCCCAGTTAAAGCAGTTTGCTTCTGTTTCTTCTCAAGCACCTGTAATCTCTTATTCCCCCCTAGTGTCTGTCTGTGGTATTGTAATCTCTCAGATGTTCTAACAAGCCACAGTGTTTGCCTTTGTTCTCAGCATCCCCCAACCTGCCATCCAAAGTATACTCTCATTCCCTTCAGTGCTCCAAATTAGATGAGACAGAAAAAAAATCCCTCAGGCAACCTGTTGAAAAGCCAGAATGTGGAGTGCATATTCCACTCTTTTCTTTCCCTTCTGAGAGAGAGGCCAGAAGTCAGAGGTTTTCTCTAATTACACCGCATTGTGCCAGGGAGGGGAGGGGCTATGATGGGCAAATGCAATGAACTTTCCTTTTTGCTTTGATGCAGCTCTTCTTAGCTTTGTGTCTCCCTGGAGTGCTGCAACCTCTTAACTTGTTTCTGGAGTTCTCATAAAAGGAATTTGGACTGTATTCTGCTGTTAAGTTGATGCCTCTGGAGGAGAACAAGGGCCTAGGACTTCCTATTCTGCCATCTTGCTGATGTCACTTGAAAGCAGATAATTATTGTTATAACAGAAATTAGTTGCACAAGGATCTCTTAGTTGAATTCAAAGCTCCAAAAATGGAGAGAGGCAAACATCTTTATTAAAATATCAGAATAGATGCTGGCCCAGTGGCATAGTGGTTAAGTTTGCGTGCTCCACTTCGTTGGCCTAGGGTTTTCAGGTTCAGATCCCAGGCACGGACCGACGCTCTGCTTGTCAAGCCATGCTGTGCAGTGTCCCATATAAAGTAGAGGAAGATGGGAATAAATGTTAGCCCAAGGCCAATCTTCCTCAGCAAAAAGAGGAGGGTTGACATTAGATGTTAGCTCAGGGCTGATCTTAAAAGAAAGGAAAGAAGGTAGGAGGGAAGGGATGGGAAGGGAAAACTTTTTGAGTGGCTGTCTGTTCCTCTATGCTATATGCTCTGTTGGAATAGGCATTAGGGCCTTATTTACCTTTGTGGTTGTGGTGGCATTCATTCTTTATGCATCCAGTAATAAATACTCTCATTGAATGAATGTTAGTTATTATATTTGTTGCTAGGTATAAATGGTAAACAAGCAAAACCCAGTCCCTATCCTCATGGAGTTTCTAGCCTAGAGAAGAATACAAACATATAAACAGACACCCAAAATCCAGTATGATAAATACTCAGAAAGGATTAATTTCAGGGTGCTAGGAGAGTATGAGTCTTATATCCAAAATAAGGTGAACTCACGTAATAAATGCTCCATATCTTTGAACAGAATGGAAGAGGTACTATAGATGTACCAATTATACTGAAAGTTGCCAGCACTCATATAAAGTAACCTAGGGTAGCTAGAATATTCCATGAACATGCCAAGCCTCAAAAAAAGCAATCAGCAAAAATTGATACTTTTTTTATATTCTCTCTACTTAGCTCCCCAGTTCCTCAAAATTTCACCCTTTTTTGAGTGACTTCTCTAATAGCCAGCTATGCATTTTGACATTAGGACAGAACTAGGAGAGCTTGATCAATAGTATGGTAGCTGTGGGACATGTGCAATGGATAGCTTTAGGGGACAAGAGGTGGCCCACACTCAATTCGTCATTTGCCTCCAGTTTCATATTTAAAAGCTCTCTTGCTTTATCTCTGACATTTCAGGTGTGAAGAGCCGAGTTAGCAAGTTCCCTTAGTGGATATTAAAAAAACTATGCCAGAAGACTCTAGGGAGGAAGACATGGAAGCAAAAGGCAGGTAGTGACAGGAAAATGGATAAGACAAGTCTTGGTCAAGGGAAAGGGATGAGCATCCAGCAGTCTGATATAGATGGCCACAGTCCAGGGAAACTTAGTCTTTTTCTGGTACAGAAAGTTATCTAGTTTTTTTCCCCTCAGTCTTTCCCCAAATACCTTAAAAACAAATTAAGTGATAGAAATATATTTTTCTTAAACTATAATGTGGACATTATTTGGATACTCATATGATGTGTATTTTTAAATTATTTTATCAACATCATATTGGCTTATAACAATTGTGTAAATTTCTGGTGTATATTATTATGTTTCGGTTTTTGTATAGACTGCATCATGTTCACCACCAATAGTCTTAGTTTTTATCCATCACCATACATATGCACCTCTTTACCCTTTTTTTCCCTTCCTCTACCAGATTCCCCTCTGGTAATCGCTAATCTGTGCTCTTTTTCTGTGTGTTTGTTTATTTTCCACATATGAGTGAAATCATATGATATTTGTCTTTCCCTGTCTGACTTATTTTACTTAGCTTAATACTCTCAAGGTCCATCCATGTTGTCACAATTTTGTCTTTTTTATGGCTGGGTAATATTCAGTTGTGTGTATATGCCGCAGCTTCTTTATCCATTCATCCATTGATGGGCACTTGGGTTGCTTCCATGTCTTGGCTATTGCAAATAATGCTGCAATTTCTTCTCTGAGAAATAATGTGTTTATAACACTCAGAGGAAACAACAAGAAATTCATTGCAGAGCAAAGTGAAGGTTAAAGTTCTTTTGCCACCTCTTCCAACATCCCTCTCTACTTTTTGGACCCCATTTACCTATCTTATGTTGGATATTTTAAAACCATCAACCTATGTCCCTTAAAGCATTGGAATCAAATACATTGGAATATAGATTCTAAATCAAAGACAAATGAGCTGTCTGGGCTTAAAGGAACAATCCTTAAATGATGACATTTCTTGCAATGAGGCAAGCGATAGAAGTGATAGAAGAGCACTTCTGGTGTGAGGGTGATTTTCCAATGCCTCCTGAGTCCTAGCATTTTGGTAGCCATCTACTCCACTGTTGCATCATTGAGGTTTTATTCTACAAAAGGTGAGAGGGAGAGTTGGTGGACCTTAAGCTCCAGTTGTACAAACTCTGGAGAGAGCTCCCAACTAAGTAGAGCATGGTGAATTCCAGGTATTTATCTAATATTTAAAACCTTGCTCAAACAGCTTCAGTCTTTTTGTTCAAATTGGTATCCTACACTGGCTACTTTTGTAAGAACGTGATCTGGTACATGTCATCATGAAACTTATCAATCCTTTGAAACCTATCTATCCCCCAAAAGTCAGACCTGGATCTATGCCTCCTTGGAGCCTTCCCTGACCATTCTAACCTTCAGATATTTCTCTCTACTCATACCCTATAAATTTTTGTATCTATACATGTTTGACAGTATATGCTTTCTCAAATTTTGGTTTTCAAGAGTGTATTTCGTTGCTTCACCTAAAGTTTAAGCTCCTGGAAAGCAGAAGCAAGACCTTATATCACCTTTCTTCTATCCGTGCATTTATTGATGTGTTGGTCCAGTGATTCTTTGCTTGGACTGATTATATTCAGCCCAATTTAACAAAAATATTATGAGCATCTACTATGTGTTAAAGAATGGAGTTTCAGAGATGGATAAAATAACATCCCTCCCCTCATGAAGATAACTGGTAAAGAAACAAGAGCTCAGTTTCCAGCAGCCAAGATTATTTCCAAAAAAGTGCATTAAATTATGTGGCCCTTGAGAAAACAGACTGTGCTTATTCATGTTTGGCTTGACTTTAGCACATAGCACAGTCAAGTCCTGATTTCACTGTTGAGAACCAGACTCATATATCAAATAGCCTGTATGACTTTTCCTCTGTAATAGGCATTTCATGCTTAACATGGTCCATAGAGAACTGTTGATCTCCTCCACTCCACAGGAAGGCTACTCATCCTGTTAGCAAATGACAACAGCTTTTGGCAAGCCACTAAAAATCTAGAAGTTACCTTTATAATCACGTTATCCACCACTTACATTGATTTTAGATCTGAAAAATACGCCCAAATCTCACCATGTCTCTTGCCATAGTTGAAGCCAGTGTTTCTCTGTAATTACAGTAACTGCCTCCTAATTCATTTCCCTGCTTCTGCGCTCACCTCCTTTCTGTTTTGTTTTGGTCTACACAAAGCTTATTTCCACCTCAGTGTTTTTGGCTTTCCTGTTACCCTTGCCTGGAATTCTCTTCTTGAATAGGGATTTTGTCTTGGTTACCACTAGATCCCTAACACATAGGAGATTTCATGGTACAAAACAAGAAATCAATATTTATTGAAGGAGTGGGCAAAATTTTAGTGGTTGTTGAATGTATGTAAACATGAATGAATGACTTGAACAGCCATTGTTTGCATGGCTAGCACCTGACGTAGTCTCCAACCTCAAGAAGATTATGGCTTAATATTTTTTTTGATTATATGGACTATCTGTTAAAATAAATGAGTAATCCTTTGCTGGGCATTAGATGGGTGGTTGAAATAGTATGTCCTGAGTGAGCTCAGGAAACCAACGGCAGGTGACCACAATAGTTAAGCAGTGGTTTTTACCTTCGATATCTGTCTTTATGTTAATAGAAGCTTACTCTTAGCTAGATGAGATTTCTTTTAGCCTTTTAGGCTGGAAAAGTTCCCAAGTGAGCAAGTATCAATTTCATGATTTATCTTTACTGACTAAATAAATGGGACATTTCCTGGAAGCTATAATAGGCTGAAAAGAGGGCTGGATTTTTTCCCCTGCCTACAAGTCTCGTTCTCTTTTAATCCTTTTTTGAATCTCAGATTTTTTTATCTTCATCTGAAAATTGGGGATATAGCAATAACTAGTTAAGGAGTGGTTGTGTGGCTTTAGGGAAGTAATGTACCTAAATGAATTAGCGCAGGGTGTGGTACATACTAAGTCCTTATAAATGATAATATGATGATAATAATGATGTATTAAAGAATGTCTTAAGTTGTGGAGTCCTTTATGAATATAAAGCAGAAGGAATCAAGGCCTCGAATAGAGAAAGAGCATGTTGTTTCTGGCATAAAGTTTAGATTACTCTTTATCTTACATAGTTTTTACTATTTTAATAGGCATATACTAGATACTTAATAAAACTTTTGTGAAAAATTATGTTTAGGGTTAGAAGATAAGGTCAGAGAAATTCAGGAAAGTTTTCTTTTTTATTGAAAAAAATAACTCATATTATATTTAAATTGTCTAGATTATAACAACTTTGTGGGGAGGCTCTGAATTATCCTTGAAGTAGTTGAAGTAATGGTGACATTCTCTGCAAAATGACATAATTCAAAGCCTCAATTTTGTTCTAGCCAAGTTTAAATTTTATTCTTGATCCTCTTTAAAGAGCAAATTTAAGGCATAGGCTGGGATTCTCAAACATTAGGAAAAGGAGGTTTTATTTTGTCTGAATTTGACCTGGGTTACTCTGTATCTTTAATAGTTTTTATTACTTACTTTCGCCAGGCTTGTTATAAGTACCCAATAAATACCTTTTGAATAAATGAACAAATGTGTTCAGGAATGATACGCATAAGCTTCATGTGACCTCAGAGACATATGTGTGAATGGTTGCCAACTCCTGTAGTCCAATGTGACAGAGGCGATTTGTCATAAATGACATCATCTATGGCATGACCTCTTCACCTTCTTTTTGAAACCCTTACTTCCAAAGAACTTGCCCATTTCTAGGAGTTGCGCCCTAGGCTGCTCAGCATGAAGATGCTCCTTTTAAAGCTCCAATAATAGGCTTCCCATTGATGAAAAAGTATTTCCTATGCTCTTTGGACCTGTGGTGACTTCCCTTCAGCTCTTTATTATGGAGTGTCTCTGGCACTCGTCAAACCCATTCACCCTCATAGACCAGTCACAAGTGGCCTAGTTTTTGAGGCTCATCAGATACAGGAAACTAAGTCACCTCCAAGCCTGTGAGAATAAGCTGGCTGAGTGCTTGAATGCCACTCCAGTGACCGCCAGGCCTCACGAAGTCTCTGCCTGGCCTCATGGTTGCTTTCGGCTTCCTCCAAGTTAAGCACACAGCTTTATTGAAAAGGATGCTTTTTCCATATAAAGCACCGTTTATCAGAAGCACTTCCTCATTCCCCTTATACTTACTGAAATCCCTTGTGAGAATCTCTAAGTTCTCAAAGTTTGTTTTTAGAATGGGTCTCTTAAAACCAGTCATAAAAGCTGACAGTGCTTGACCAAAAACCTAGGCAGAAGGATTAAAATGTTTCTCCTTTGATTTCTTCTCAGCAGAGTATAAAACTGGGGTTGGTCAGAAGAGCAAATGAAGATATACTTTTGGCTCTGAAACAGGTACCTTGCTCCAAATGTCTCTACCGACATTAAAACTAGGGATTGATAACAGTCCCTTAATCTAGGACTTTGCCAGAGCTTTCATTATAATCTTGTGGAAAAATTAATCTCGTGTCTGTGTCTGTCACTTCTTGCCTGCACTGGCTATTTGTATGTTTAGCTACTTTGGGACAGGGACAATAAGATACCTGGTGGAAGCTCCCTACCCTGGACTGGGGATTTGGAAGTCTGTTGTCGCCACACAGTGTATTAAATGAGGGAAGCTGGCCCTGAGTGTAAGATAAACACCAGGTGTTCTGTCTCCTTATTTAAACTTCACTTCGTGTGGATAGCCAGTTTCTGCTCTGGTTTCCCATGACCTCTCCAAAGCTTAAACATGGTCACATAAGATCTTCTCTCCCTTGTCTTTTTTGTTTTCTGCCAGTTCCTTCTCCTGCCCTGGATCTAGACCATCCTTTGGCATCTCTTGCTTCAATACAGATAATTACCTCTTTCATAAGATCTTGACACTCAACCTGATTGTGAAAAACACCACAACCAATATGTTTAGCACTGTTAAAAACATGACCCTAAATTGCACTCAAGTTAGTTATGTCATCTCTTCTGTGGCTCTTTTGGCTTCTGGCCCCTCCATCTGCACTGCCCCAACCTCTAAGAAACAGATCCCAACATTTTGGCTTGGATAATGCAACGTAAAATAGAGTAAAACCGGGAATTAAATTCTACTGTTAAGAACTCAGGTTCCTGGTTTGAGTGGCCCCAGAAGTGAAGATAATAATTTTAAGAAACCCTAAAGTAATTCAATTTTCCTGACTTCAGGGAAGGAGGAGGATTTTGTTTCCTTTATTTGGCCTGTGTGAGTAGTTTATACAAAACCAAGCTTTTTAAAGAAAGGGAATGGGGCCAAAGAAAGCCTTTGGCATTTCATGTGCATCCTGCCCTCCACGTTGCTCAGGAGGCAGCTGCTCATGAGGACAAGGCTGCTTTCTCCCGAGGGGCCAGTTGGAACCCCAACTATTAGAGCAGAGGAATGTCTCTTCCTCCATGGCTCTAGCAATAAACTTGCCATCATGAAGAAAGGTGCAATTTTACTTCACAGTATTTCAGGTTCTGGTCACTGAATCCATCTGGTTAGAATAAAACCAGAGGAAAAGGGAAAGAATGAAAAGGAAGTGATATTATTTCCTTTCAGTCAAGTGAAAAATTTTTAGCCAGTTTGATTCCCATGGTTTCCAAGCTGTTTGGAATGAAAACCAACCTTCCAGCGAACTCTTATGGGTGCAATATCGATCAAATAAAAGAGCTCATGAAACGGTTGGAGGCCTAGTGAAAAGAACTCAACAAGTTTCCCACAGATTCCTTCTCTGATGGATAATGGGCATGAGTTCACTGAGAAGCAACAAGGCATGTAAGGGGATCTCTCAAACAGTGCTGCCCACCTGAGGAGTTCACAAGAATTCCCCCTCTAGCCACGGGCTCCCTGTTGTGAGCATGAAAGGTTTTTGATCATGTCATTTCAATTTGTCCCACAAAACATGTCTCAAAGAGAGAGACAGAAGTATTTACTTCACGAACATTAGTTTTTAGCCCAGGTCTATTTTTGTTTCTTTTTTATTCTTTCTTTCCTCCTTCCTCCCTTCCTTCCTCTAGAGATGTCTCCTGAAGCTTTATTCCTGCTCTCACCAAAGTGCCTTCTGTACCATGGCGGGATAGAAAATAACAGTTGAAGAAAGAGGTAAATAAAAAATAATAATGCATTGCATTTAAGGAAGTCTTAATCTCGTCTCCTATTACCTCTGTACTCAGGTCAGCAAATTCTGATTCATCTACTCTAGGCTGCATATTCTGGGAGGCATAAGTTAGTTGCCTGCACATCAGAGTGAGTTGAATAGCTACTAGGCCAAATCACAGAAGTATTTTGTAGAGCTACTAACAAAGAAAGGGTGAGCTCGAGCTCTGATGCTTCCTGCAAAGCTGATTTGTCAGCTATTTTCCCTCTGACAGATAAGAAGTCTGATTGGTCTCTCAGTCTAAGCAAAGGGTGATTTGTGGTTCTGAATAAATTTAGTTTTTAGCGACTAGTGAGCCTTATACTCAGACAAAAGTTAAAATAATTTGGTTGAGATATAATGTTTTAAAAAATAACAATCATTACCATTGCAAAGAAATGTTTTGGTTCTCCAAGTAGAAATATACTTATTTTCTTTTAAAAATGTAGAGTCTAAAATGGAAAACTGATTCTGCTCTTACATTTTTCTGATTTTATTCTTTGTTTGTCAGATTTAGTCCCCATTGTGAATAGGTAACCTTGGGAAACTCACATAGGCCTCTATATCTCAGTGTCCTCATCTGTCAAAGGGGCTGATAATGACACCTAGCTCATCGAGTTGTTAAAGGAATTAAATGAGATGCTGTGGCAGGTACATGGTATGTTCCAGTTGCAATAGCCTGGTGAAATATGAGTTTAAAATAACCCCAGAAAATATTACCTTTTCATATGCCAGATACTATTCTAAATGCTCCATATATATTAGCTCACATAATCACTCTAACAACCCTATGTATATTAGTTTATTTTTCAGATGAAGAAATGAGGCACAGAGAGGCCAAGTAACCTGCACAAGCTCACACAGTTAGTAAATGTCAGTGCCAGGGTTCAAACCCAGGTAGACTGACTTCAAATCCAGTGAAGGCATTCTGCACTTGGTGAAACAGTACTCCATTAGTTTACCTGCCTCTGCTCTTACCCTCTCATTTTTTTTTATTCACGCTACTACCAGCATGAGATTTCTTAAAAGAAAACTGACCCCATTGTTCCTTTGCTTGGAACACTTCAAAGACTCTTCATCACTTGAATACAGTTGACAAGATTCTTCACTATTCCATCCATGTCTATCCAGTCGCATTTCCCAAAGCTCTGGACTTGTATTTTATAGTCTTGTGCACGTATATGCTTTTATACTCTCCACCAACACTCAGCATACAAGTTTAACCCTCTAAGTATTTGGGGTTATCTCCACTCTGTCTGAAATATGCTTCACCTAACCTGCTTCTTATCTTTTCTACTTTTAAAACTTTGATTTATTTTTCAAAACTTGGCTCAGCTTTTGCCTTCTCCATAATGCTGTCTCTTCCCCCAAACACTTAATTATTCTATTCCCTTTACTGCTTGTGGCAGATTGTATTTTCTAAAGGTGACTGCAACAATGTCTACCACCATATGCAATTCTGCATTTGGACATTGCCATTGTCGCTCTCCCATCAAGAGGTGGAATCTGTTTCTCCACTCCCTTGAATCTGCTCAGGCCCTATGACTGCTTCGACCAATAGAACACAGCAGAAATGATGCAATAACTCCTACAGGCACAACCCTAACAGGCCTGGCAGTTCAACTTCCTGCCACTCACAGCTTTGAACTGTCATGTAAAGTCCAGGCTACTCTGGTGGACAGAGATGCAGCCAAGAAGGGCACCCAAGTGCCAGATATGTGAGCGAGGAAGCCATCTTTGTTATCCAGCCAAATTGAGTCTGCAGACGATTTCAGCTGCAGCTCTTACCTGACTGACACCAAATAGCAGACTCCAAGCAAGAACCGCCCAGCTGAGCCCAAACCGTGAAACCGCAAGAGATAATGATAAATTGTTTAAAGCCACTGAGTTTTGGGGTGGTTTGTTATGTAGCAATAGATATCTAAAATACTATTTATCTGGTTTCAGAGGACCTTTATTATTGTATATGTATACTCCATTTACTGTATTCATTTATTTGTATATTTGTCTCCCTTACTACACTATGAAGGTCTTGAAGATTGGGGCTTTGTTTTGTAGGTGTTTGTAACATCAGTGCTTGAATCATTGTAGGCTCCCAATAAATATTTGTTGAATTGAAGTAAGTGTACAGGGTGGATTTGTTTGTTTGTATGAAACTTGGTGAGAAGAAAAAAGACAACTTTATTTAAAAAATGAATATTTAAGCTCTACATAAGCCATATTTTTTGTGTCCTGTTCTCTCTCCCAACTCCTCTACTCACACCAAAGAGAATAAGAAGACATCTTCCGACTTGCATATCAAGATGAATTCAAAACAGGGTAAATTCTTAAGGGAACAAAGATTGCCTTCAACATTGAACAAGATATGGAAAGCTATACTCTAGACTGTTATTATCAGTTGCCTCCAGGGAGGGGATAGAAACTGGGGGAGGGGGACAGTGGTGAATAGGAGGTTTGCCTTGTACTCCATGTCCTCTCGTAATACTTTAGTGTCTTTTTATTTTTAACATGCATTTATTACTTTTAAATTTAAACAAAATTTTAAAAATAAAATAAAGGAAAACAGAAGACACGAATAATCAAAGATCGACTGCCACCCCCTGATAATGTAGGGTATTGAATCTGATGATGATTTATCAGTTATGCACTTGGGCTGTAGTGTTACGCAGACCTGGATTGGAATTCTGACTCGGCCCTGGAGAACTTGGGCCAGGCACTTCTCTTGAAGCTTCAGTTTACTCATCTAAACAACAGGCATACAAATAACCACCTAAAATTGATATGTAAATCAAGAGGTAATACACATAAGGGGTTTACCATAGTGCCTGGAATATAGTAAGGGCACAACTGTTGGAGTGAAGTAAGAAAAGGAGAAGAGGAAGAAGAAGCAGATGAGGAAGAAGGGAAGAAAAGATGGACAATGGCCATTTTTAGTAGGAAGCACAGGCATTTTTTGTTTCATTCATTCTTTGCGTTCTGTTATCACCTTAGTCTAAGCACTCAATATC